GGGGGGGGAGTAGTGTTCCTCTCATCTCCCCCCCCCAAAGGACTTGTTTACAATTTTCCCAAGAAACTGGAAATTTTGGGGAACACTGAAAAGCCTCCCAGTGACATATTTTCTCCTTTAGATTGAGTGAAATGCCTCTGAATATTTTTGTGTGAGAGTCAGTCTACAGCATAATAATCCTGGCACATACAATACTCAAATCCAAGATGCGTTTCTGTGCTTAGAAGGTGCTGCCACCTTTCCCGAGAGAAACGTGTGGGGCTTCTGTTGCTTTAAAGTGCTGCTTCCCTTCTTCTGGCGACTTTTGGTCAAGTTTGGAGATACCAGAAGAAAGTATACTGCTTCTGCTGTCCTTTGGGCCTGGCCTCCCCCTTGCAGTTGACATCTTCACCTTTTCTCTCAAAAAAGAGTAACACAGACATTGTGGTACATCCTGGGGAAAACAGCAGGCTTACTTCCCTGCCCTGTTGGATGATAAGAAGCTCAGAAGGAGATAGAAACCTATCTCTGTGTAAATGCTTGTGATGATGATGATAATGATGATGATGATGATGATGACAAGTTCCTATTTCCACCTGGAAAGTTAAGAGCTCCATGAAGAAGGGCAAATCTTGCTGAGGACTGAAAAAGCACTTGGTTTGTAAGTGATCAGACCATGTTATGAGACCTATAGCACCATATAGCAGTAAGCTGCTTTTTCCTAGGTTGCCTGTGCTTTATGAATGCACTGCCTCTTTTGTTTTTTAAAAATGTTTGTCGTTGCTTGAAAATGCTGAAACATCTGGTGCGTTTGCAGGGTGAATGTGGTGTTTCTTTCGTGCTCAACAAAGAAAGGATCAAAACTCTCGAGATTTCCTGTGTGCTTTCTTTCCTTAAATCATTTATTAGTGGTTCTCTCTTCCTCTGAATTCCTGGATAGTTTTAGGGAGCTGTGGCTGTGCTGCCGAAAGCAGTCTGGGAAATGGTGCCTCCAGCCTTTCCTTTGTATGCACTACTATAGTTAATTTCAGAGCTTCTGCCGGGGAAACGACGTAAGAAGCACAAGGAAAATAACCTAGAAGGGAGAAAGGAAAGGGCAGTTCTTTGGGGAAAGCTTCATCCCACACATCTATCTGCCAACCTCAGGCTGGACTCTTGTGTGGATTCTGGCTGAGTTTGATTTTTCTGGTGTGCCCCAGGCAGCTTCTCAGTTAATATAGCCCAGTACATGGCTTATTAAAACTATCCTTCCTTGCATGCAGAGGAAACAGGCAGCTAGATGAAAGAGAGACTTGCATGCCTTTGGATGTCAGTAAGAATGGATGCACAATGGATTCATGCCTATGATTTTTTAAAAAATATACTTCCAGCACAGTATCCAGACAGGGAAGGCTTACACCAGACCTTGCAGTGAGAGATGTGTGCCTCAGATGTGAATCTTAGGGAACACGCACGAGTTCTTTGCAGTTGCTACACAGGAAGCAAGGGAAATAGATGTGCATAACACACATCCATTCTCACATTTGCCCTATGAAATCTGAAGATACCCTAAGCAGACAACTCTGTTGATCTATTCTGGTAGATAAAAAATATGCTGTGGGTGAGTACTGGTGTTCTGAATAAGAGACCGTGGCAGTGTTTGGTAAGAAAACAAGTCATTAAAATATAATATCGTTTCTTGTGTGTGTGTGCGTTGAGTGTGGGACCTTCATATCAGGGCTGGTTGTTCTTAAATGTGCTCAGAGACTGACTAGCTCGTCATGTGAAGACCTCCAGGTATAGAGCGGTATATCAATTCAATAAATAATAATAATAAATAATGTGAAGCTCCTCTGTTTGGATCATCAAACTCTTGGCAATGATTCTGTTGTTGGATTAAATAAGAAACAAAAAACCTCTGGGGGAAGTGGGCCATTCTACTAAAGTAACCACAAACTGGAAGGACAGTGATGTGCCGTTATTCTTTTCGCACACTCATTTCTTGGTGATTCCACTTGCACTGGTCTAAAAAAAGTTTTAAAGGTGTGTTTTTTTAGGTGGTTCTGAGCATGGATTATACTGATGCTCAAAATGGGACATCCGGGAGTTGTTCTCCCCTATGCTATCTTCTGGCTGTTACTTGATATTTGGCTCGCTTGCTTGCTCTGTAAACACTTCCCTGCCCTTCATCTGTTTCTTCATAAGGCATATTGTGGACTTGGAAGACTTGGTAACATGGCTGCTGGAGAGAGTGTGTGTTTGTTTTTAAATTGCTATTTTCATCCAAATAGACAAAAAAGAAGTATTAGTATGGATATAGATATGCACACATACATACACAATTCTTTCTTTCTTTCTTTCTTTCTTTCTTTCTTTCTTTCTTTCCTTCCTTCCTTCCTTCCTTCCTTCCTTCCTTCACCCTGAGGTACCTTTAGTCATATCTTTGTAAAAGTGCCATGGATACCAGCACAAAATTTTAAAAAGAGCTGACGGTTCTCTGTACTGTCAACAAAAAAGCACTGCGCATACGTATATAAAATCCATATTCCCATTCCATGGTGTAGCTTACATAGCCAAATAGAATGTAACAGTTATAACTGCATATAAGGGAGCAACTGTAGCCCCCAATCTGTGTTCCTGGAGAGAGTAAGGATTGGACCGAGGTTTCCCTCTGCCAGTGATGGTGTTGGGTCTTCCACTGCTGTGGCCACTGGAAGCTCAGGCAGTTGTGAAGTTACCAGTGGTGGGATTCCTGCCAGTATTAGTCAGCCCAAGCCCCTATAATAGGGTGTTAAAGGGGCAGGGTAGGGGTGGAGCAGGTCTAGCACTGGAACTCCCAGATCCTCAGCCATTCTCAGAAGAGGGCTTTTCGCTGTGCCAGCCTGGAGCTGTTAGAACAAAAAAACAACCATCAGGAAAACCACAAACTAAACCAGAGATTAATCCATTTATAACGTGAATCAATCAACAGTCTCTCATCTCTAATAATAATAATAATAGTACCCCACCCAACTGACTGAGTTGCCCCAGCCACTCTGTGTGGCTTCCAACAAATCAATATAATAGGCTCATAATAACTCATCTCTCTGCTTTATCATATAGCCTCTAACACCTGCTTGCTTATACCATAATAGTTATTTTTTGCACTTCCAATATTGAACAAAACTTATCCCACTGTTCCAGTGACTCTTTTTTTCATAATCCATCCTTCCCAAAATATTTTAAAACAGGAACTCTTTAACGTCACTGTTCTATGCCAGGTATTACTTTCACATTCTTTTACAGATGGTAATTATAATTTTTTCCTCCATATTTTACCCATTAAAATTCATGTTGGCAATATTTTTCTCCTTTAAAACTTCATACCGAAACTTCCAGTTTTGCCAACTGAAGAATCATTGGCTCATAGTTACCTTATACCCACTTATATTCTAAATAGTTATAACTGACCAATTTTTTAGTATATTTGCACAACCACCAAATACGTCAAAAGCCTGCAAAGTCTTGACAACCCCATCCTCACCATGCATTTGAACCATTATTCTACCACTTTATAAGTCATGATTCTGCCAAAGAGTTCGGGAAAATGTAGTTTGTTGAGGGTTGTTAGGAGACCCCCATTCCCCTCACAGAGCTACAGTTCCCAGAATATTTGAACAGTCAATTCCTTTTCCTAAGGAACTCTGGGACTTGTAGCTTGGTGAGGGGAATAGGAGTATCCTAAAACTCTCACCACTCTTAAAAACTACATTTTTTTCAGGACTCTTTAGGGGAAATCATGACTGTTAAAGTGGTATAATTGTGATGTAAATGTATGGAGCAGATGTGGCCATCGTCCCCAACATGATACCCAGGGCTTTTGCAGCTGGAACTTGCTGGAACTCAGTTCTGGCTCAGTTCTGGTGGGTGCCATTGCCATTATAAGAGAACAAGGAAGGTGTTCATGGTGATTTCTGGCACCCCTTTGTCTAGAAAAAGAGCACTGATGCATTTGATAATGTATTCATTTTGTTTGTAATCTCAAAGGTGCAAAATACAATAAGTACAACAATTTACAGGTATTTTCTCTTGTAGCTACACCCCAAGAATGTATAGTATCATTCCTACAAACCTTTTTGCATATTATTAATTACAGTTATCTTGTTTGGACATATTTCTCTTTACAACGACTCACAAATGAGCATCTGGATACCGTACACAATTAAATCTGTTGCTTCAACCACCTTTTACAAAAATAAATTCTGCTTAGTCCTTTCTGCTTCCAGAAATTATAGTACACTCTACCTTGCTCAAAACAGTTCATAGAATAGATGGATGGATTCATTGATCCTATTTGCAACAAGAGGAAGTCTGGATGATCTTCTGGTTAGTTCCTGTCCTAGAAACCTTATTTCACATAACCACTACAGTATAAATAACTGTATGATAGGATAGCAACTATCACATTCCATTGACTAGCCAAGTTTGATCACCTATGACAGGAGCATATCTGAACCAGCAGTTTCATAGGATCAGGTAACTAGGAAATACAAACACTGTGTTAAGTTTATACTATTGTATGGCTAAGATGAGACAGAAAAGTTTGTGTGCACAATGTCACACTCATCTGTATGCCTTCTGCCATCTCAGCTTCGTGACTGCATACGGGTCTTTAAAATGAAGCTTAGACAGTTGGTTACATTAACAAGTGGAGTAAAGTGAATTGTAGACTTAATAGTTTGGGCTTTACAGTCCCTGGTTCTACACATTTACTCAACGTTTACTGATCAATAAATCGGACGCATACGAACCCTGCATAAATCACTTGTTGACAGGCAGGCTGTAAATGCCATTGTTCATGCCGCTTAGCAACCATTCTCCAGGGAGGTGTTTTTCACAGGGGTCTTGGTCTCCTAGGTATTTATTTTACTCATCCAGTTCATATATTACACATTCCATTGCATACTGTTATGTGAACATCATGTTCTGAGCTGTATAGTCAGCTCTAGTGAATTTGTAGTAGAATCATAGAACATCTAGTCCAACCTTCTGCAATGCAGGAATCTTTTGTCTAGTGTGGGGCTCAATCCAATGACCCTGAGATTAAAAGTCTCATACTCTTACCAACTGAGCTATCCTAAGTGGCTTTATATGTGATCGGTCTCATGAAAGACATTCTCTAAAACAGAATTTCTTGAAGCAAAAAGGCAAGTGGAACCTAACACAAGCAGTTCAACATTGCTGAGAGCTCCCAATTAATATGCTGCTTGACCCAAATGTTGACATATTCAATGCTGCATGCCTATCTTGGCATGACAGCCTCAAAAAGTTAGTCTGGAAAGTCCTTTGGAAAGATCTTCTAAATGGAAACAGGAGGTCAAGAGGACTGATAAGTTATGGAAAACCATACATTGCAGGAGGAAAGAAAGAAAGAAAGAATCATCATAAACTAGTGAGGTATTTTTTTAATGATCCAAAAATCAAAATGGAAACTTTGGCAAGATAGCACTAAGTGCAGATTATTAAGAAGGACTCTATTGGTAGTGCAGAAGAGTAAGGGCAAGAAATAAGGAACTCATTTTGTAGACTAATGAAATTCATTTCATATGATATAGGTGGACCTTAGCAATATAGTTTATTGTCCCTCAGCTGTCAAGTGACGTGAAGAAAAAGATAGCCTTGTTCAGTTTTCTGCTTAAAGCAAAAGGGAAAGTCTGTTTCCCCCAGCCTTGTCAAAGGCCCTATTTAAAGCTGTTATGTCCTAAATGAATCATCCTAGAATTCTGTATCCGCTTTTCTAGGAATAAGTTCCATTGCACTCAGTTAGACTTACTTCGGAGCACACATATATAGGATTCCAATTTTGTTCTGGGCTTCACCTGTGGACCCACCTCAAACTGCTGGTTTGTGGGGGGGTTTTTTACCCACCAGATCAGAATAGTTTCCTGGTGAAGACTGGTGGGGGAAAAATGTTATCCCTCCCCAGCTAGGATCCTGTTTCCCAAAGGGTCATTGGTAGGGAGTTGGCTTTTGCCACACACACACCGGGGATTTTGAGGGACACAACCTATTCTCTCTGGGAGAGAATTGTTTCAACTGACTGCCTAGGGGAAGACACAGATCTACATAAAAAACCGTTTGTAATATTCACCTCAACATTCTTCCAAATCACTGTGATTGGAGAGAACTCAGGGTGTTTCCCTAGTCAGCTTGGTTTCACTTTAAAAAAAATGCAATAGTTGCTTTAATCAGGGGAGAAAAATAGGGTTGTTTTTAAATGCAGCATTTTTGGTGCCCCTGAATCCACAGAATGATTCGGAGCATTAAGGGAATCCCTGATACAATGTGAAGACCTCAGGAGAATAACTCCTGTTCACCTAGTAATTTGTGAAGTACGCTGAGCTAATGCACACACCTACTATTTGCATATTCAAGGTTTGTTGAAGTAATGGATTATCAAATATGTGAATGAAACATTTTGGAAACCTTTTAGAGTGTAAGTTCAAAAGGCAGAATATGCTGGCCATTTCCAAATAGTCAAAGGCATTCCAGGAAAATGAGAGGAACAGCTGTTTGCCCTAGCTGGTGAATAAAGGAGAAGAAGCACTGATATTTAAACTACAGGGCAGCTGAGCATTCGGAATAAGCTGCCTGGAGAGTGAAATCTCCTTCCCTGGAAGACTGGACACACATCTGTCAATGATATTCTGCATATAAGATCAATTGTTTTGGGAAAGAGAGTTGCAGGAGATGTATTGATTCATAATATTGCCATCCCATCTTCCTTTTGTGGCACTCAATGTAGTGTACGTAGGATTCCCATGTGATTTCCCTCTTGGCCATGCCATGCCCTGACCAGAATCAAAGTTGCATAAGTTGCAGCAATGTTATGGCATCACACATCTACAAACTGTGCCCTGTACTTTGTAGGTTTATGGCCCAGCAGTTACGGTGTGTGTGTGGGGGGGGTTTGGGGGATTTCCATTGGTGAAATTGGGAGGTTTGTTTTTAGAACTGAAGAAGGAAGGAAGGGTTAAATGTTGCCACTCTGTGTGCTGTAATTCTCCCCTCAGCCTCAAAAATAATCTTCTCCTGTGTTGCGCTTAGGCATAGAGGAAATTGGACAGGACTGTTTGCATGTACAAACCAATCCTAACATTCTTTGATGGAAACACTGTCTGGGTCATATTAAAGTCTGACAATCTTCCCTCCCTCTTCCCCTTCCTCTTCCTGTTTCCCTCCAAATCCAGGGAGAAACCAAAGTCCTGAAGCTGAAAAATCTGCGACCCCAAGACTATGCCAGTTACACATGTCAGGTGTCTGTTAGAAATGTTTGTGGCATTCCTGACAAGTCAATCACCTTTGAACTTACGAACACAACAGGTAAGTGAGAGACCTCCAGTGGGTAATGTCAGTAGGAAATGTGTCGGCATATGAGTCCCATCCATTAAGATCAGCAGCAGAGGCTTTGCTGGCAGGAGGGAAGGAGGGATATTTGAGCAGGAACTTACATTTTTTATTGTGAATTGGGGGAATCTTCCTACAACTGATTATTGGGAATCTTCCTACAACTGATTCTAAGTTCACATTTCCACATGTTTGCCCTTATAAGACTTCTTTAAAGTGTGTTTATGAGACAAAATGTTACACCAGAAGGGGCTGTGGGACAGATCAAATCATACACGATATTGCTTTTCCTTCAGCTCTACTCCAATATGGGAAATGAGTCTGTTTGGGAGGAAAGTGCTGGGGGATTGCAGGGAAATAAGCTTTGCAGGGAGATAATACTTTGGGCCAACATCTCCTTCCCACTTGTCCAACACTTTTGCTTTTAAAGCCCAACCATCCTGCTGCTGCTGTATATATGTTTGGTGTATGACTAAAGGTTCTGTCAGTGTCATTGAGGTCTTTCTTAATGTTAGAGCCTTCAGTCCCTTTTGCAAGGATGTCTGACTGGAGAATGGAGAATAGGCAGTGCAACTCTAAAGGCACACATGCCTTTGATTTGAAACAGAGAGAATCCTGTTTGACTTGAACATTGCTATTATTCTTAAGAAGTATATGTAAAAACACCATAAAAAATTGTCTTTAAATATCTACTTCCCCCACTTCTACCACCACTGCAATTTCACATGACTGCATTCAGAAAAGGTCCTTTTGTCCTCATGGAATCTTTCCCCTCATGAATTTTGTAATGGTGCCTATGACCTGTGAGTAGGGGCCAGGGAGAAAAAATAAATTTAGTTCACATTGAAAGGCAAACGTATCTACCGGTAATTCGTGCTTTCCGAAACAATACACAAACTAAAACATGGTCATCTTTTGAAATTCCCACTTCTCCGAATTTTGCAATGCCTACTTCTCCAGTGAAGTTATGTGTAAAAAAATATATATGCATCTACTGGGATTAAGGGTGCTTCTAAATTCACATAATAGTGAAAATAACATACAAAAGCGCATTATATTACAGGAAATTGCCTTAGAAAAAACTTGTTATTAGGAAAATTACATGCAAACATGTACATTAAGAGAAATTCGCACAAAAATGCTGGTGACTTTTCATGAGGACTTTTTCAAAAACAATTTGCAAAGTGGTGTGGAGTACTGACTTTGAGTGTCATGGTTGTCACTCAGACCACGATGACAGATGCTCTTACTTGATATTAAGGAAGAGAACTTTACTGAGGCTGATTTAACAGGCAAAGAGTCACAGCAGCCTCAAAACTTGGACTAGGAAATGGGAACAGCATGACTAGCTGGGCTAAGAGAAGAAGCACATTTTGAAGGAGTCCAAAATCAGGGCAAGGAGTTAAGAACTGCATAGAAGCAACCGAGTTGTTTAAATAGATTGACACACTCACCTGCCAAGTTTCAAAGGTGAGGTAAGCTTCCTTGGGATACTCCTGTGCCTTGAGGAAATGTCAAGTGTGCACATGTGCACTGCATCAAGGATGATGGGTCTATTACTAGTAGTGGTTCTGAATGACCAGGCTGTGCCCGTCCGATGCCCTGGACCCCATTGATGCTGTCCCTTCCCCAGGAGGGAAGAAGAGGGAAGGCAAGATTCCCACCTCTCCATCCAGAGCTGCAGATTCTGGGAGAAGGGAGTACTTGCCTCCTGCAGCCTCTGTTCTCTGGTCTCAGCCCCCCCCCCCCCCGCAAATTTCATCCTCTTCTTTGTCCCCCCTTGTTTGTCACAGCCTGCCAATCCAAGCCTGAGCCCAATAATACCTTGGGTCTCTTTACATTAAGAAGAGAAATATAAGAAACCAAAATGGACATATTTGGCCATCCCTATCTGTGGGATGATCTTATGTATACAAAACATGTGTTCTACCAGTGAACTGTGACCCTTGAGGAATAAATTAATAGCATAAGGCTTTAGGATAGCTAGCAAGATTTTAGGAGCAATGCTAGATAACAAATTGAGCATGACTTAACGAGACAATGATTTAGCCAGAGAGTTGAAAAGCCTAATTCCAGCATGTATATATTTTTAAGGCATCCTATTTAAGACATAGATGGTAGTCACGATACTACTCTGCCCAGTAACGGTTAGACACCCCCCGCCAATGCATCATATTCCCTCCCATGTCTTTTTGTCCAGAAGAGTGTTAACAGAAAGTAAAGGATTCGTAGATGGGGAGTGGAAAAGCAGGAGAGAGACTTAGAAAGCAAGCCAGGAAAGCTAGTGCAGAGTAATGGCTAAGAGATTGAACTGTGAACCTGGCACTTCCTAGGCAGCTCTAATAGCTGAACATTAGAAAGATCTTCCTAGCTGTAAGAGTACTTCGCTGGGGAATGAGCCGCCTGGGAAGTTTCTTCCTCAAAGGGGTCAAGCTAAGCTTGGCCAGACGTTGTAACTTCAAGGCTACAGGACTCCTTTTCATAGCATACATTTATCTAGAGAAACCACCACCTTTTTGTTCTGTACTTTCACTCACTAAACCATTAGAATCAGTGTTGCCTCCATAACCTGGGGTGGGGGGGGGGGAGAGACGTGGAAATCACCTGTTATTGCCCTGCATGGGAATACGAAAGAGAGTCTTAAGGGTTGACTGAGCTCTAAAAGAAGTTTGCCCCTTCATCCTTCCCCCTTGTATTCTCTTATTAATGGCTTTACAATTATGAGGCGTCAAGGG